CTCATCGGAATGTGGACGCGGATTTCGACTCACCGTGCATCGTGCAACCTGAGACCTTGAACAATTGACTCGTGAATGAGGTGACTCCTTTGCCCTGCTCTTCGAATTTCGCATGGACTAAATCAGGAAGCCCTTTACCGTATCCTTTGGCAACGCACTCCGCCAGTTTCACGCGACTGCCGAGAGTGCCCAAGTCCTTGGCCCAGAACTGTATGTTCTCGACCTCTCCGACGGGCTCTTGGTGCTCCTCGACCAAAAGCCGAACAATCAGCCGATAAGTTTTCCGAGGAGCTGAAGACGTCAATTGGATGCTCAGAGTGATCGAATTTCCGCTCAGTCCTGCGAGGCCGAAGACGGCGAGAGATCTCCTGTCCGGGCGAACTTCGACCCCGATATTCTCTATCATCGATTTAATCAGAACCTCATCTTCGAAATTGAACTTCGGTAGTTCGATTTCCTGTCTGAAGAATGAGTCCCGTCGAACACGGTACGAGGGAACCGCGTATACTGTCCACCTTCCAGAAGTATCTTTGCCTTGCACGCGGACTTCATATTCGAAATGAAACATCCCAGGTTCCATCTTGCGGAACTTCAGGCTACGAATCGCCCCCAATCTCTTGTACTCAACGATACCATCCTTTGGGAATTTAGAATAATAATTTGCGGGTGCGCCCTGGAAATATTTTTCGTGGACAAGCTTTATCGGCGCGGTATCCTCCACTGTTTTTCCGGCTGGGAGGTAAATCTCCCTGGTGGCGTTGCTCACAGCGAAATTTCCAGACCAGTGTGGTATTTGCGTCAGCTCGATGGAACTGTATGCTAGAGCTGAGCCGTCGGCGTGTGGGCTGCATGGAGAGCGAGATTCCTCATCAGTTTCAGGGTCGATCCGTGCGGGCGAGATGTCGAATAGGAGACGTGAGCCAACTTAGACTCGATGGACTTCGCCCGGGTCTCCTCGAAGGTCAAAAACTCAGATACTCACCTGGATCCGCCTGTCGAGTGTCGAATCGAAGATTCGCCGTCATGATTCAGATGTCCTCCGACGGAATAAACCACGCTCACAGACCAGAAAAGAAGCATCAAGCACTGAGAATCCCACATGCTACCGAGTCTAAATTCCATCACCGTGCAGTGGATCTACGCACGCAAGCGATTCGGCAGGGAACGCAATTAGAACCTCAAGCTCGAGGTGAACTTCGCGCAAACTCTCAGAACTCTACGTGCATGTTATCGCGCGGCCGATTCCACATGGCGAGAGAACCTCGAGCACTGTCTCCAAAAGCAGTGGCTTCTCGAACCTAAATATTCTCCGAATGCTTCCGTGGGTTGAGCCTCCCAACCGCAGCGTATTTTCGCCGAAGGGAACTCCGCAGAGATCTACAATCATCTGTTTCGAGAATCAGATGGGCATTTGCAGCCGTTGGTTTGGTTTCTCTTGTTTGGTCGGGGAGTATACAAGGATGGGTTCTAGGATCGCTCCTAAGCCTATGCTCTGCAAGTCGTTCGCGCCCGGAATAAGTTATGCGGAGGAGGCTCTTTTGGAATAATTCCGGGGTTTTTATTCCAACCTAAGAACTCTTCAAACTGCTTGTAACATGTCTCATCTTGCGATGTACCCTGAAAAGTTACTGAGATCGAAGTATCTCCGATGGCATGCAACTTGCCTGTTTTTCGGATTTGATCGATGCGAGGGGAAAAATCTAATAAGCTTCCAGCGCTCTGAAGGTAAGAAACGTCTTCAGGAGGGGGGGATAAGATTCGCCGAGTTGATGGGCTCGACCCCTGTCGGAAGCGCAGTTCACTCATTTTTCCACTCATATGCGAAAGCATCCTCCGCCGTGATGTTGCTTTTCGGGACGGATCGAAGAAGGGAGGAGAGTTCCGGCGTCAAGAGTTTCCGGGCGAAGGCACGGACTCAGAAGCGTAGACTCTGTCTCAAATTCTTCTTTAATTTATATCAACCGTCGGTCTCAGGTGAGCTAGTAGATCAATGGCGTCGTTGGTCATGGAGCAGTGGTCCACTTCTAGTCTGCGGAGTTGCGGGCAGTTTTCTTTGAGCGCCTCCAGAGTCCGATCGGTTAAGGAACGACAATGTCTGAGCAACAGACTGCGCAAACGTGGCAAACACTGAACCGCAGAGATCAGCCCAACGTCCGTGATTCGAGGACAATTTGAAAGATCGAGGTACTCCAAACAAACATGATGAGTTGCTATTTTGATTAATGCGCCATCGGTGAGGCTACAGAGCGCCATGTTCAAAACCTTCATGTCCGAGGAGCCGATTCCGTTCTCTAGGGAGCGGTCAGTGATTCCGGGTGCACCCGTGACTTTCAAGATGTACAGTTTCTCCAACAGATGGAACCTCTCAGCGGCGTCGTCGCTGAGATTCACACAATACTCAAGGTCGAGTTCTTCGAGTTTCTTGAATCTTTCAGGTATCATCACAAAACATTCAGTGTCGAGCTCCGGGCAATTGGCAAGCTTGAGGACCCGGAGCTCTTCTAGAGACGCGAATTGGCGGAAAGCTCCGACGTCACAATACGTGTAGCTCAGATCTAGATACTGCAGTTTTGTCAAGTCTCCCAGGCTCCCCATCAAGGCAACAGGCATTGATTGACAGAAGAATAAATTCAGGTGTCGCAGCTTCTTGAGTTGACTTATACGTTCGACCGTCGGACCCTTGATCTGTCGACAGCGGCCAAGGTCCAGATGCTCAAGGTCGGGAGTGTTGCCCAGAATCGAGTCTAAATGACTATCATTCGTTTGACAGGTTTCATGAAGCGACAAGAGTCGCAATTTCCTGCATTCGCCGATTGCTTCGTAAGCTCTCGTTGTGAGCTGATCACATCTTTCAAGGCGTAAATTCAACAAACTTTCTCCGTACAGCTCTACAATCTGAATCAGAGCTTTGGCGTTCATCAGGGTGCCGCTGAAGTCCAGATCGATGAATCGTTTCTGTGATCTCATCATGCAGGCGAGCACATTCTGGAAAGTGAGCACAGAAGAACTGAATTCGTTGGTGCCGGTGTGGAATCTCCGAAATATTCCTGGGTGGAACTGAAGGTTCGAACAACCAGCCAGACAGAGTGACGTGATCCCAGGCATCAGAGTGAGCATTTGGTTGAATGACGCATCTGTCAGGAATCGATTCTTCCGTAGGGACAGCCGCCGGACGTTGCGTAGGGAATGTTGAACTTCCGCGACGCGTATTCCTTCGGGAGGTCGCAGTAGAGCGTCGGACATCATCAAGCTCGGACACCCTGGCAATGAGAATCGGCGATTAGAGAGTCGTCGAGTTCCCTCAGCATAGAGCGGCGGGCATATCGTATCGAGAGTACGGCTCCGGGACACCGGGACGATTTCCAGGGTAGTGGTTTGCGAACCTGTGAGTTCGAGGAATTCAAGCGTCTTGCATTCGAGAAGTATCGAGTAGAAGACCGCAGCTGAGAGATCACAGTTAACCAGATGCAAATCACGAAGGGCTTCGGAGATCCATGTCCAAAACTCAGCGTCGAAGTCGAACAGGGTGCCTCCAAATTCAAGATCTCTGTCATTACGGCATACATAATCCGAGCCAGTTTCATCGCGTGTTCGATCGATCATAGAAAAACTCTCTGCTACATCTGGAGACGAACAATGGGGTCGTACAGGAATTTGCTCACCATCGTGAATTTTCAGACTCGAGTACCGACGATAGCTTTCGCGTAGAGTTGGCGCGGCCCTGTCTAGGTCGGAATCGCGCAGGACTAGGGAGATGTCTGCTAGTAGATGCGATGAACAGAGAATTCCAGCCCATCGGCGGCATACCAGGGCACAGCTGACGCGGTCCGGGCCTCTGAGGTTTCGGAGGATAATTTCGAGCAGCTGGAAGTTGAGTGAATATAGTTGTGTGAATGAAGACGTGAGAAAGGGCAAACTCGGATCGCAATCAAGGTCCGTCATCATGTAAAAATTTCCAACTCTCTCGAGAGACCAGTTATTATAGCCTCGAATCGTTTCCCCATTCGGGCCGTTTCCCGGAGGTCCTAGGAGAACTGATCTCAGGCCTCCCTGGACTCTCCAACACGAGTCTGGCTAACCTCTGGCGGTAGTTTCTCCATTCACAAATATTTGTGAATGTTCTCCTGACGGTGAAACTCGTCTTGAGGAATCACTTCCAGATTGAGCAGGGGGTTCCCATCGTCTATTTCGCTGTCACCGATTTATCCGCGGAACCGTCCTTAGCGAAACTATGAGTGCCAGGTCGTACACTGCCGAATCGCGCTAGGATTCGCTCTGGGTGTTCGAGCGGAGAGATCCTCGGCGGTGAATCTCTGCGCTGACTCACTCTCCTGCTTAGCGACAATCACATGACAAGGAATATGTCCCATTCGAATTGCACCTTTACTCAATAGGTCACTAGAGACGCAGTGTGCGAGCGGCAAGTACGTTGATAGTGATGAATTTTCTTCGCTCGACCTCAGGACCCTAACAGCCGCTCCGAGGATGCTCAAAAGCACCCGATACGACTAGTGGCTCACCGAGTGTCGAACTAAGCCGGAATCCCCGACGAACCGGTGTGGAAAGCTAAGAGCGAGTCCGATTCGCGGCGTCTGAGCCATGAAGACCACGAGTCCGAATGAGGAATCCTTGCTTGCTTCACAAGTTGCGTTAATCTCATTTATTTAGTCGGTACCAGGAAAAACGAAGGCCATTCGCCTGAGCGGTCAATAACTGTACACGGGAATATACATCGGCTCGAGAAAGTTTCCGTACCTAGAGTTTCATTTGTCTGTGATGAGCACTGTGAATCCTTCTCCTATCCATGGAGCGGCCGGACAGAGCTCCTCAAAACTCTTGGGTTATCACACTGATTCCTTCAAAAGGAGGGAAATATCGACTTCTTCCACTGTCATTGAAATTCTGTCGTCGTTCACGTATCCCCGACGCGATACCAAGCAGCGCCTGGACCGAGTAAATCGAATCGAGAGCAAAATTGTCCTGAGGAGGTTCGTTTCTGAATAGTGATCCAGACAAGGTTCTGACCAAGCGTAGCAGGATAAACTCGTCAGGCTTTCAGCCCGTGACGTCTTCCCTGTAACGTGGAGTGGAGAGCTTGGCCGGACAGGAAGTGGTCCTACGGAGTCCTCGAGGATGGAAGTCCTTGACCGTAGCTCCTTCCGTACAACCCGGACTGAATATTCGTTTCCAACGCTTGATTGAAAGCTTGAACAAATTGAAAAATGTCAATATCACACTGGGATGTTTGATTCCGTTCTGAGAGGTCCGAGCGGCTTCTCTCGCTAATTCGTGCAGAATTTGCGCTCTCTGGCGACGGTGCATCGGTGACGCGTCCACTTGTTGCTCGTGATCCTCGGCTTGCAGATCGGACGAGCACAACATATCCGTCTGACTGCCGCAGAGCGGGTCGCTCGACGTAGCCACCAGTCCCCGGAGATACGCAACGCTCTCGACGCCATTACCGACCAGGTCGAGGATAATGTGCAGCAGGAAATCCGAGAAGACTCCTCGACTCGCTTCTATCAACGTATTGACGGTGTCCTGGGAGAGGTATCGACCATCGATGGCGGAATTCACCGTAATGAGAACCAGTAGAACGTGGCCGAGAGCCTGGAGGTCGGTCTGTGACTCTTTCGAAACGAGTACCGAGAGTGTCCAATTTGAGAGTCGTAGATGGTTGACGCTTTCGATGAGGACGTTTTTCGCAGTGAGATTCCCGTGACAGAAGCCATTGCGGTGCAGGTAATCGAGACCGTCCAGAATTTGACACATCCACCGGAGGATTCGAGTCTCGGACAGCGACGCCTCGAAACAGCCTCGAGTGTAATCGAAGATAGTCAAATCACTATGGAACGCGGTATGGATCACGATGTCGGCCTCGTGCACGAAAACACTGACCACTTGTTCGATGTTTCTGTGCGCCAGCTGTAGAATCCTGAGGCGGTTCCAGAGATCCTCATTGGAGGTCAGTCGGTTCACCGTTCTCCTGATGTAGTTGCCGTTGTCCTTCCGAATCAGAGCTAGCGAACCGAACCTGCCACGTCCGAGATTCCGGATCAGAACCGGACCTTCCTGCCAAGCGAGCTCGTCCATATTTCACTCCTACGTGGTTTCCATTTTGAGAGAATCACGGCCACCGGTGTTCGAATTCCAAGACGATTGTTGACACGACGTCATCAGGGACGGGGGTCTGCGAACGGTGGGGGTTCCGGAGGATTCTGGAGCCGTGCCACGCTTCGCTTCCGAATTGTTTCTGAGTGAGGACGAGACGAGTTAGCGGAACCTCGACTAGAACCGCCACAAACAGTCGCGGTTGCAGAAACTTTGGTGTTTGTTGTTATGGTAATATGCTGCTGACTGGTGTGGTGTGTCTGGCGCCCGTTGCTGCTTGATTCTCAACGAATGCGGCTGCGAACTTCTCGAAGAGCTCAGACACCAGCTGATGTTGGCGGCGGGCTGCGATCCCGGGAACCCTCTGACGAGCACTGCAATGTATGGTCGAGCTCTCAAGCTCGCCTCAGAGGGTCGAAATTGCAACTCACAGAGACGGCTTAGTCCCGTTCTAATCATTGAGGAGACTTGAGCGCGAAATGAAGCCGAGACGAACACCGTCGGGGCGACGACCCCGTTTTCGGAGACCGAAGTCCGTCACTGCCGAAGTTTATTTGATGATTTCCTCCCTTGAGTGGTCCGGCTACCTCTGTACCATTCGGAAGGGAAAAGCCGAATCTCCTGGGTGACCCGTTTGCAACGACAAAAACGATCCGGGAGCGGCAGCGGCCCCCGATCGGGGAGCTGCGAGCTCGGATACGGCCGCCCGTCAATCAGAAGCTCTCGATTACACCTTATGAAGCCGAGAACAACTGCGTTTGTATTCCGAGTCGTGAACTCAGCATTATTGTCTTCCCCCCGTCATATGGTTTTATCGTACTCCTCAGCTAGCTTCGTAGTTTTTGAACCCCTTCAGACAACAATCCGCCACTGGGTACTCACCTGCCTGAAACGAGGAGTGCCCGAAAGCGAAGGCGAGATGAATTCCGAATCCGTTCCGGAGGAGCAGAGATCATGTGTAAAGTTCCCCTATACAGCGGAACCGCGCCAGCGCAATGCAGGTCATCGGCACCTTGAACCATGAGATTTGACAACGCGCAGCTCTGGAACATCATATTGGATGGCCCAGTTTATTGCAGCTCCGCGGACTACACGATCGTCGAATTTCCAAGTACTCAGTGTATTCTTCGTGAGAAGTCGTCCCATGAGAGCATCGAGCTCGGAATGGCCACTTTGACGTAGATTCAGACTTCTGCAGTCGGTAAAGCTTCGAACAACGCGATACGATGATAGGTGATTGTAAGCCCTTTTCGGAGACCGAACTCTGTGATCGAGCGTATCACTTGAATGATGTGGGCGAGCTCATCCTACAAGAGCTGTGCCCACGTCGGAGCTCTTGACCGGAATCTGAGACACGGGACTTACACATCGCTTTTTGTTACGCCAGAGCAGCGGACAATCATTCGAACGGGAAGTACTCGCGAACCCCGAGTCGGTTCTCTCGCCGATAGATTCCCACCGGATATGGAGCTCAGATTTGTGAGGAGTGCATCCGTTGAGAGCTCTGACGGTTGACGCGGTTCATGTTCAACAGTCTGCACTGCTCTCTTCCTTCCGTCGGAAGCAAAACAGATATGGAATCGAACAGATACGTATTATGCTCGTAGACCCCTTGGAGGAGGCCTCGACGGTAACTTCTCTTTTAGGGCAGCCTTCAGAGATCCTGGTTACGGTGGTCTCGCTACGAAGAGACTGCATTTGTTCATTCCAGAGTCGGGTCAGGGTCACCGACGGGCGGTTGGTGGCTAGCGCATTTGTGAGTTACTTCGTAAGCGAACCTACTCGACAGCCTCACGGATGTTGGAAGACTATCTTGATTGGTTGACTTATCCCTGAGATTGGTTGTTGCAACGACATGTGCATGAGGAGGCTTTCGCGGCTACTTGCAGCCAGGGGTTCGAGAGCGAGCCCATACCCCAAGAGCGGCCCTGACCGCGCTGTTCAAGACTCGCTCGAGCCGCGCTTGCGCTTCGCTCACGTTGCTGGATCACTCACCTAGTTTCGAAGCGTCGATGTCGGAGTTGCGGTCTCGGAATCAGAATTCCATAGGTCTGCCTAGCGGTAAACTTTTAATCAGAGCTCCCGTATAGATGTATGTACGTAAAATCAATATGTGTGTTTGTCGCGTCCTGGTGGGGCGCATGACCGATGGGAGCCTTCTGATACGCGGTCATGGGCCGCGTCTCGGCTACTCATCGAAAACGGAGATGGGTATATCCGGGCATCTCTTCCGAAGCTCACACATTCCTCCACGTGCCTCGGAGCATGATGTACCAGACCCATTCCCCGATCCGGCCTGCTAATGTTGAAACTGTCTGATGACCCGATGTTGTCAGACTTTCCCGAACGATATGAGATATGACGCATCGAGACCACCGCGAGCGTGATTGGCGCGGATAATTCGAGTTTTTGAATCGAATCGCCTGCGGAGCAAATATTTATTCGAGACAAATCAGGCGGAGGAGCAGCCTCAGCCGTGTGACGCCTGAAATGCGTAAGTTCTCACTCGGTGCAGTCGCGGTGAAAAATCATGCAGACGCGGTGAGGGCTCGTTAGGCTCGCAGAGAATGACACGGGACAACAAAAAACATTACCTACGGATTAGAGAGACTAGTTCATTAGGCACATATCCGGAACATGCCAGATGGATAATTTCTAGCGAAGGAGAGAGAAAGATGGATCATGGGCTAGAATTATCCTATCCAACGATTTCCTCCGAGACTATGTTCCGGAAAAATGTGGACTATTACGTCAGAGCGGGTGCTTCACTAGCTACTAAAGCGAACTATCCACCGAAAAATTATTCATTGACCGTGTGACCATGATCTCCACTGCCAAGTCCGTACTCGTCGGTGCTCTGGTGGCACTCGCTCATGCCCAGGAATATTGTAATTGTAGAGAACCCACGATGAGTGCCTGTGAGAAACTGGGAGGAGCTTCCATAAGCATCACGACCAAGACCCAATTCTCGGATGAAGTTTGTCTCGGTGACAACGACTTCCAGAAGACGGAGGTCGACGGAAACAACAAAAGGAGGTAAATTCTCGGTGGGGGAGCGTCGGAGAAGAAACTCTCTTCCGGGACCTACGAGAATCCAATGGACCCGAGAATCGCAATCTCTGAAGACCTCGTTGATATTTCCGAGATAGAATGCCAAAGCGAGAGCTTAGTTCCAGGGTTGAGCCTCACTTCGGGAAATACGGCGGTGACATGCTCGAGTCGAAATCGTCTCTGGAGCTTGAGACGGCAACTCTCCAGCCCCTGTGTGATGTAAGAGGCTTTCACCATGACGACGGCTGCTGCCGTGAGACGCTTTCTCTCAACTCGGCCGGTAAGAACTTTTCCGCGAGCTCGGCTCCGATATCCGACAAGTCCGACGCCGGTGTACAAGCCATGAACTCGTCTTACGGTGAGAAGAACATCACCCGATCCATCAATGTGTTGAATCCGTGGACGTTCATCGAGCAGACTGATCATTACACCCGAATGATCTCGGCTCGTACGTGTTCGGGTGCGCGTACTCGACGAATGTCGATGCTACGTCCGGATCCAATACATGGATGCTGTGTAACTACTTCGGAGCTGGGAATTTCATAGGAGCGAACTCTTCCAATACCTGTTCTTCGATTGGATCATCGTGCCCTTCAAGCTCTACGAAGTCGTCCTGCGAACCGACCCATTTGAGCGCTAACTAAGCGGCATCGAGACACAGCCATGATCGAGAAAGACCCTGGACGATCTCGGAGCCGGGGAATACTCCTAAAATCTATATGTTCTGTTAGATTCGGAAGGATCGGGCTGCCCTTGCCGACTCCTGAATAGTAGTTTTGCTGAGATGGTTGACGGTCTAGCCCTTCGCCCTTCTCTCCCCAACATGAAAAAAAAGCGCTTGAAGTCCGAATCTGTTCAGAGCTGATACATATCTGGGACCGGACAAGGATTACATAGGGGAAAACCCCTATGGATCATGGGAAAAAAATCCGTATACGTACCGATAGCCATAGCGGACGTATATGGAGGGCCATAGGCGAATGCTATTAGGTTGAGTGGAATTGATAGCTCACATCATGAGGCAGAGGAAGGTTCCAGAGGAGGACTAGAGAGCGAAAAGTACCAGTCGGGCTTCAGGAGTTCAGAGAGTGTTTCTTTTGTGCCACTCGATCGAGAACACGTGTCTTTGGATTCACAAGGGCATCGGATGATGCATCGGTCACTCAAAGCTGCGAAACAACGCGTAAATACTCCACGCTCCAAATTTAGCATTGTATCGAGGAATCTGTCTCCGGATGAGACCTTTCTGTCACGCGAAGCCCGATCGATGCTATCCATACCGATTTGTCGTTTACAGAAGAGTGAAGCGACGAATGATGTCACCAGTGATGTCATATCAAGTATTAGGATATTTCAAACTTGACTTACCAAAACATTTTCATTATTTGTGCCGCTTCGGTTATTGTGACTCACTGATCTGTTTAGGATGCCTTTTGTTGAAAAACATGTATAAAAATGATCGGGAATCAGGGATGCTCACTTCAATCGCTGAACTTAGCTCATCGACAACGCAATAGGGAGAATGGTGCCTCCAGGGATACCTCAGGGTAGCATTGCCGCCCTGCTCCTGCTCGCGCTTTCCGAAGCCGCGTCGGGAGACGATTTCTGCACTCCGGGAGTGAGAGCTTCTTGCAACCATCCGTCCGCGTGCATCAAGATCAAATGTGGTGATTTCAACAGCTACGGGAGAGCGGATTTCAGGAACCTCATGCTGAGTGCCCACAACTCGTTTCGGTGAGTTCCCACAGACATACGCAGCTCCGAGGAGCATCATCGCCCCCTCGTCGCCATTAGATGCTCTTGGCCAGAATGCACTGTGGCCAATGATTGTTTTGGTGCGTGTTTCAGGAGAAATCCCACACTGGGCATGTTCGGAGCCGACATGATCAAGATGGAGTGGAGTCGAGAGCTCGAGGACAACGCCCTCAAATGGCTCCAAAGTTTGTGCAGAACCAAGACAATGCACCACGACGAGCAGCGCTGCCGGCAAACTTCCTCATTTGACTCCGTGGGGCAGAATCTATGGACTGCTCAAGGATCGGCTAACGGCGACATGATGACTGCGGCACGGAGCGCCCTGAGCTCATGGTATAGCGAGAAGAGGTCTGTCACCGAGAAAGGCATGATCCT